CTCCGCGGGGTGTGTGATGTGAACACCGCGATGCGCGGGATGGGATGGAATCGTGGAGCTTTAGGGGTTGGAATGACCGTGCAGTGGATGTAGTGCCAACCCCCTGCCCTGGGCAGGGACACCTCCCACCTGAGCAGGTTGCTCAAGGCTCATCCAACCTGGCTGTGAACACTGCCAGGGTTGGGGCAGCCACAGCCTCCCTGGGCACCCTGGGACAGGGGCTCACAGGAAAAAACTTCTTCCTAATATCTAACCTAAATTTCCCCTCTTTTAATTTGTACCCACTTCCCCTTGTCTTGTCACTGCAGTTCCTAACACAGAGTCACTCTCTGGCTCCCCTGTAGTCCCTTCAGATACTCAGAGGCTGCTCTGAGGTCTCTGCACAACCAAAAAGTGCACAGCAGGAGCAAAGACACGAATTGTGTAAGCACAGCCATTCCCAAATCCACCCCCAGGCACATTCCTACAGCTCAAGGGGCTGACAGTTGTTCCAGGACTAGAGGGAATGGTCATAAGGCGAGACGGGAGGTTCTAATTAAATGTTAGGAGAAATGTTTTCCCTGTTAGGGTGTTCAGGCACTGGGATAGATTGCCCAGGGAGGTGGTGGAGTCACCATCCCTGGAAGTGTTGAAGAGGAGTCTGGATCTGGCACTGGAGGATATGGTTTAGGGTTTAGGGGTTCCAGCAATGACAGGTTAATGGTTGGACTCAGTGGTCTTAGAGGTCTCCCCAACCTTGATGATTCTATGCAAAGCTGTTTTAGAGAGATGGCCCACATAAGTGAAGCCATATGGATCATTTGATGAGTGATAAGCAGGATCCAGATGTTAGGGGTTTTTTGTCCAAAAAGCTGTTCACACAGAGCAGCAAATAATCCTCATTGTACTTCCTGTGTTTAGGACTTTTGATCCATCAAATTAATTTTAGCAAGTGCTTACTTGGAATAACTGATTGCTCTTTGTGCTGTTGGTAGATTGTCAGAACGGAACTGTATAGAGATTGTCACTAAGCTGGTTGCAGAAAAGCAGCTGGAAGTAGTGCACACACTCGATGGCAAAGAGTATGTCACTCCCGCACAGATTACTAAGGAGATCCGGGATGAGCTTCACGTTTGTGGTGGTAAGTGTGGCATTTCCTTCCCTCCTTTGGGTTTGGAAGCTAATTTCGAAGGCTACAGAAACAATTTGAAAGTTTTCAGTACTCTGAGTCTGTCAGAAAAAGTGCATTTCCTTCATCTACACATTAATTCACCTACTGTTATTTTACTTGCACTTCAGATCTGTGCCAAGCTTCTAGGTAAGCATATCAAGAGAAGTTATTTGCTTTATTTTCACCCATGCAGAACTTCTGAGGTACAAGTTGTCAGAGAATCCTTTTTGAAGGAAATGTGGCATTTTAGTATGGTTAAATATCTGGCCCAGATGTCTGGCCTTGACTTGGAATTTCAAAATCATTCTCCTTTGGTGCCATTAGCCATAATATTTGTACATTGTTATTGACAGGTCTATTATTTTACCAGTGTGAAGGACCATCTGCTTTGTAAGATCTGACTGAGATATATAAGGAATCTAATACTCTGCAGACTTCTTGTCAATGACTTTAATGTTTTTTAAGGCTATGCATTGTAGTTAAATTTAAGGGTGAATTTCACAGCATCATATGTTTACAAAATTAACTTATCTTCATACAGATTAGCCATTTTCTTACTCTTGCCACAGATGTGCCTCATTTGGTGTCGTGCCACTGTGTATCATGTCAGTATGACAGCTTGGATTGTTGCTGGGTGGTGTTAGTAGCATCATGCAAAGGTAGAAAGTTTGGACAATCTCTGGTTTGGTACTCATGGACTAGTTTAACTGGGCTGTAAAAAAAGTGCCCGAGAAATATCTTGTGGACTATGGGCTATGCTATGTTCTAAATCTGTTCAAACCTGTTTTCTGTTTTCTGCACTAAAAGTGTATTTATTCCTTTTTTTTTTTGAAGGTCGAGTAAACATAGTCGACTTACAACAGGTAACTTGAATAATGAAAAAGATATACTTTTTTCCTTTCCCATGTGTATTGTAAGTGTGGAGTTCATAAGTTACCCTCCAGCTAAGCTATTTGTTATAAACAGAACAAACTTCATGAAGAACTAGCAGCTCCTTGTCAGAGTACTGCAGGTTGCTTCATCCATCCATTTATTGCTTGGCTGAAAGGTCCTTTCTGCTTAATAATAGTCTAGGACTGCTGAAATCACTGCTGAAATGCACAGATTTTCTTTATGAACCCTTCCCTTGTAAACTAAGGGGGGCAAACAGAAAAGAAATACGTTTCCCACTTAAATTTAAAGCTGCAGGAGCATGCCTAATTAACTTTGCATGCCTCTTTGGATCTTCCCTGTTCATTAATCTCCTGTCTGCACTAATCTTTATCCTCCAGTGGTCTTCCTCTGTGACTAATTTTCCCTTCCGGCTTGAGCAAAATCAGTTGGAATTAAAAAAATAAAATTTTTGAAAGACAATTTACTATTTTCTGATGTAGCTTTCTGGGATTGCTTTTATTATGTAGGTTTGTTTTTACCTTGTCACAGTTACAGAGCTTTTTCCCCCCTAAAGCATTTGCATTACTCCAAATCACAGATGAACTGTTTGAGTATACAACAGTAGGAACAAATAGAAGCAGCTTTTTCAGACATAGGAATGTGTAAGTAATATCTCAGAGTTTGAGAATTAATTTCAATTTCTTTGGGTTTGTTTTTTTTTTCAGGTAATAAATGTGGACCTTCTGCACATTGAAAACAGAGCTAATGACATTGTTAAATCTGAAAAATCTGTTCAGCTTGTACTGGGACAGCTTATAAATGAGTGAGTACTGTCAGAGGAAGTATAATTCATACCTCTTTTACTTCTTAAAACACAGACTAAAAATGATGGGCAGCCTTTGTTGCTTCTGAAGCAAAGTACATTTTGCTTGACTGCTACTAGGGCTGCTTGGTGATGATCAGTGCTGCTTTTCCAAATGCCAACTGAAGTCTATCTCAGCAAAGCATCCAGTGAATCCATGGAGCAAAGGCCTTACTGAAAGGCCTTCCTTGGTCTGTTCAGCCTGGAGAAGAGGAGACTGAGGGGAGACCAAATTGCTGGATACAAATTCCTCATGGAAGGAAGTGTAGGGACAGCACTGACCTCTCTCTCTCTGGCAACCAGGGACAGGACCCAAGGGAATGGTCTGAAGTTGTCTCAGGGGAGGTTTAGGCTGGAGATTAGAAAATTGTTCTTCCCCCAGAGGTGTTTGGGCACTGGAACAGCTCCCAGGGCAGTGTCACAGCCCCAAGCCTGACAGAGCTCAAGGGGCATTTGGACAACACTCTCAGGCACAGGGTGTGATTGTTGGGATTGTCCTGTGCAGGGCAGGAGTTGGACTAGATCATCCTCAGGGGATCCTGCCAACTCTGATGATTCTGTGATTCTCTGATTCTGTGAATGTCTGTCTCCAACATCCTGAACTTAAAAGGTTTTATTTCTTACCCAGCAGCCAGATCTCATTTGCTTTCTGGCTTTGCTGTCTGCCTCAACTATTGGCAAACCTTCTCATTTTTTCCTTTACATCAGAAGCCTAAGATGTATGAGCAGGTTTTTTCACAGAATAATCAGAGTTGGAAGGGACCCTTGAGCATCATTAGTCCAACTCCTGGCCCTGCACAGGACATCCCTGAGGATCACACCATGTGCCTGAGGGCATTGGCCAAACACCTCTTGAGTTCTGTCAAGCTTGGGGCTGTGACTGTTTCCCTGGGGAGCTTTTCATGACTTTCTGAACACTACCAGCCACTGAAGTAATACTCTTAGGGGTTGTCTTCTTTATTGATTGCACTGCAGGATTTGTTCATGGAAAAGATTGTGAAGTTTCTGTCTCCCCTGAAAGAATTAAGACCTCTCTTGCTCACTGAAGCCCTTTGCTAAGTTTCATTGACATAATGTTTTCCTCTTTATGTTTCTTGAAATCTTCTTACAAACAGATAACTATTTATCAGGCTTTTTAAACAAATATGCATTTTTACTTACGTTGTTCTCCTTTATTAATTTCAAATAACTGTCAGTTTATTTTTGCAAAGATGCAACAGAAAGAGGTACATTAAAAGAGGTCAATTAACAATTCAACATGTGGATCTTGAATTTCAAACTTAATGTGTTGTCTTTTTCTATCTTGTTTTTAAATAAGGAGTTACCTGAATCAGTTAGCAGAAGAAATCAATGATAAGCTGCAGGAAACTGGCCAGGTGACAATATCAGAACTCTGCAAGGCATATGATCTTCCAGGAGACTTCCTGATACAGGTGATGCAAACCTCCAGCCTAGCAAATGTAGAATTGATTGTGTCCACCTTCTTTTGTTACCTTTGCAGTCTCCATGGCTTTAATTGTGATGAGCTGCCCGTCATTCTAAATGGAAAACTGCGTGAGGTTCAATAAGGCAAAGTGTTGGTCCTGCGCTGGGGGGAGGACACAACAACCCCATGCAGAGCTTCAGGCTGGGGGAGGAGTGACTCCAGTGTTATTTGTCAGAAAGGGCCTTGGCAGTGCTGGTGGCAGCAGCTCAGTGTGAGCCAACTGTGTGCACAGGTGGCCAAGAAGGCCAAGGGCAACTTGGCCTGGATCAAGAACAGTGTGGCAGCAGGACCAGGGAAGTTCTCATCCCCCTGAACTCAGCACTGGGGATGTCACACCTCAGTGCTGTGTTCAGTTTTGGGGGCTTACTTTGTGACACTGGAGTGAGTCCAACCAAGGGCAACGAGGCTCAAAAAAGGCCTGGAACACATGTGGTATGAGGAAGGGCTGAGGGAATTGAGTTTGTTTAGTCTTGAGAAGAGGCTCAGGGGTAACCTCATGGATCTCTACATCTCCCTGACAGGGGAAAAACTGAATTCTTCTATTTGCAGGCATTATCCAGGCGTTTGGGTAGAATTATTCATGGACAGCTAGACCAGGAAAACCGTGGGGTGATTTTTACAGAAGCCTTTGTGTCCCGACATCGAGCGCGTGTTCGTGGGCTCTTCACCGCGATTACTCGGTAAGTCACAGCACCTGCAACCACAGGGTGAAACGTTTTTACTGAAGGTCTGCATGAACTAAATTCACTTGTGATTGATAAGGAAAAGAAAGACCCATGGATAGATTCCCTTCAGTGTAGTTCAGTTCCTGGATGAGAGAGTCAGTTATATTAGACTGGCCTGTTTGAAATCGAGACCTTTCGAAGCAAGAATAAGGGAGATATAACAATATACAATATAAAACATATTTAACCTTTTTGGCTGAATAAAATTTGTAGTTGTTTTTTTGTTGAGTATCTGTCCTCATTGCCATTCCACTGCTCCCTAGACAATTGCATATTGATGTGATCACTACATGTGATTATAGATAATTTTTCTCCTATTCAGTCACAGATCAGTTAGGTTGGAAGGGACCACAGTGGGTCATATAGTCCAACCTTCCTACTCCAGCAGGGCCACCCTAGAGCACATGGCTCAGGATTGTGTCCAGACAGGTCTGGAATATTTCCAGTGAGAGAGAATCCACAACCTCTCTGGGCAATGTATTCAGTGCTCAGTGACTGCACAGGAATGAAGTTCTTCCTTTTATTCAGGTGGAACTTCCTGTGCATCAGTTTTGCTGTTACCTCTTGTTTTATTGGTTTCCACTAGTGAGAATGATCTGATCCATCCTCTTGGCACTTCCTGTTCATGGACTTGAATCCATTAATTAGTTCCCTCTCAGTTGTCTCTTCTCGAGACTGAACAGGCCCAACTCCCTCAGCCTTTCCTCATCACTGAGGTGCTCCAGTCCCTTAATCTATAAACTTATGTGTCAATTTGTATGAAGAGAAAAACTTGGGGAAGCAGAGGTTTCCTTACAACAGTTATTGCAGCTTTGTTTTATAAGCTTCACAGTAACTCTAAATTGTAACCTTGTAAGCTGTTTTAAACATCAGCATAGCTCCCTGGGGCTAAGATATCATGTAGTTTCTTTCCATCTGGAGTAACCTCTCTTATTTCTGGATTCTCCATGTCAATTTCAGGTCATTAACTTAGGTTGTTTTGTTTCTTTTTTTTCCCCAAGGCCTACACCTGTAAGTAGCTTGATCACTCGGTATGGATTTCAAGAACATTTACTTTACTGTGAGTTTCATTCAGAATGTTTTGTGTCTTTCTTAGCTAAGTCATTCTCCCTTACTATCAGTATGCTTTCAAAGCAGCATTTTAGTATTCAGCCTTCATTCTGGAATAAAGAACAATGTGTTTCTCTTCAGTTATGAAGTATTAAACCTTTTGTTCTATCCATAACTGAAGGGATATTCTGTGTATCTAAAGCAAAGAGAGCATATGTTCATGAAATGCCTCTGGGGGCAGAATGATGCAAGAAGTACATTACTTATTTAGTCATCTGTTTAGTTATTTGCCCTTAGCTACTGTCAGTTTTATCAGTGAAGCACACAAAAAGGGACAGATTTTATGTAGCCAAACAGCATTAACTGCTCAGGATTTTATTTACTGACTTTTCTCTGTGATAGCAGAGACAGAGCTTTTGTCATACTCTTAGTTAAATGTTCTTTATATGCTGAGAGATAAAGCATATCCTTAAACTGTTTGCTTTTATTTCCTGCAGTTCCTGTTCTAAATAGAAATGCATAAAGATTTCCTGTCCAACTGCTGAAATTTTGAGGCAGTACTTAATTGTTTGTCACTTCTAATCATAGAATCATAGCATTATCAAGGTTGGAGGAGACTTCTAAGATCATCGAATCCAACTATTAACCTGTCACTGCTGGAACCCCTAAACCCTAAACCAGATCCTCAAGATCCAGATGCCTCTTAACCACTTCCAGGGATGGTGACTCCACCACCTCCCTGAGCAATATTCCAGTGCCTGAAAATCCTAACAGGGAAAACATTTCTCCTAACATCTAATCTGACTCTCCCCTATCTCAGATTATTACCATTCCCTCTAAGCTTGTGACCATTTCTGGTTGTATCACATAGCTGTACTGCTGTTCATCTTAAGATGGTATGAAGTCACGATGGAAAATAACTTTAGGAATGAGAAACTGTTTCTATTAAAACACTAATTACAAAGCATAAAGAAATCACATGTATTCTTCATGTCTAAATGAAGTTACTGATGTAGGACAGACCTGTAGGGACACTTAGTGTCTTTGCCAGAGTTTGGCAAGGGCCTAATAGGACACTGCAGACTACTTGGTCACCTTTAAAAATAAGTGTGAGATTGCCATAGTTCTGCAAAGGTCCTACTGTTTTATAATCAAATATTGTCTAGACAAAATTATAGCAGGGGCTGTGAAATCTCTTGAAAGCATCTTCTGTGCCCTGGAGTTTCAGAACTGGCACTTGATATCATACAGAAATTAATTGATGTCATAATTTCTCCCCTTTTCTCTAAGGACTCTGGTTCATTGCTAGTGCTTCACAAAATTGTAAATCTATTAAAGTTCTATTTCACAAAAACTGTGAATGAAAACATTGTAATTGCAAACAGAGAATAAAAATGTATTGTCTGGCAGTTGCTTAAGTGGAATAGGCATGTTGACTCTTATTTAGAGTAACTAAACTTTAATGAGTAAGTATAAAAATCTAATTTTATTTCCAGAATTGGTTTTATAATCTCCATTTTACACCAGGTAACTGGACCATGGCAGAACATGATTTCTAGCTCTTGTCTTAGATGGCATAAAACTATGTCTTGTTTAAATCAGTTTCTCTTTCTTCTGCATTTTTCCAGTGTAAGTACTGTTCAGCTTTGCTAGTGGCACTTGTGTTCACTAGCTGCTAGCTTATAAAGGCTTATCTACACTATGGGCCTATCTGACAAAAAAAAGTCATGGTTTAATATGCAGTGTTTCTTCTGGAACCAGGTTTACAGGTAAATCTCCCTGTGTAAGTGAGCTAAACCTCTGTATGCTGTACTAAGCATGTTGTAATGTGGAGTGCTGCTCGTATTTAATGAGGAGGAAGCCATACCATGTGATACCATTTCATGTTCTGTTCCAGAGCAAACCCTGTCATTTAGTGAAACAGGTAAAAAGAACCATCCAGAAAAGCTCTGGAAATTAGCAGTCTTGGCAGTTGATGTCACTGATTTTTTTTAAACTCTGTCTATATTGCATAGTGAAGAGATAAAAGCAGAATGTAGGAGGCAAATCAGATATTCCTATGAACTTTTAATGGATTGAAAATCTCTTGTTTAACATGGAGAAAGGCTTAGGAATTTGGTACTGCCAGTTACCAATATGTTCTTTGGCAGCATTTGTGCATTATCAAGAGTTTATTATTGGCAACTGTGTGATGCAGTTTGTCTTATCATTTTAGCGTGTTCAGATCTCTCTTTTTTCCATCTTGGCTAACATGCAAGCAGTGAATTATTAATAAAATGCTCATATATTTTACTCTGTGGCCAGAGAAAGATTCTTCTATGACTGCATTTTCTAAATTAACAGCTCAACCTGCCCAGGTATGTGTGTCTAATAAAAAATGTCCTGATCCTACCATTGTGGCTCACTCTTTTGAAACACTGTATGATTTCCAGAGCTTTTATGAAAGCATTCCCATAAGTGTTAAAAATAATTGATAGGGCTTGAAAATGTTGCACTAGAACAAGCACAAATGACTAATTGGTGGGAAGAAAGAAGAAATAAAACACAGAAAATAATTGCTACCTTTTGATTAATGGATATATTGACATGGAAAATGTCTCTTCATTTGTTTTCTTGTAGCTTTGCTAGAAGAACTTGTCAACACTGGTCGGCTGAAAGGCACCGTGGTTGGTGGGAGGCAGGATAAGGCTGTGTTTGTTCCAGACATCTATGCCAGAACACAGAGCAACTGGGTGGATTCCTTTTTCAGGCAGAATGGTTATTTAGGTAATTAATCTATATTCTCACAGGTCAAATGTCTTTCTAAAACTAGTTTAGGCAGTTGATCTTACCCTAATATAGCTTGTGCCTAGAGTGAAGCCACACAAGGGTAAGTAGAAGTCAGTACAGTAGTTGGTAACTCTGTGGTTAAAAGTCACATCTTGCTCATAATGATGTGTTGCTGTATCACAAAGAACTGTGTTTCAGCAGATGGAACCATACTCCTAAACAGGAATATTTCTCACAAACAGAGTTACAAATGCTCCAAAAACATTTCTTAGGCTGCTCATTGTAAACTTTTCAGATGATCATGTTTCAGCCACATGGCTGGAGTTTCAGGCCAGATGTCCAGACTCCAACCAAACTTTGGCTGTTACTAGCCCACATAGCCAAGTGTGCAGTGCACAAGAAGAATTTTCTTCCAAACTAAGAGTTGTAGAACTGGAGTGGGTAATACTAGAGTCCTGATTTGAATCCAAACAAGTCTGTCTGGCTTAAAGCTGAGTGCTGCTGGACAACGGTGTTTTAAAATACCATGAGCTATGGGAAATGTTAGCCTGAATAAAGAGAGGAATGCATCCTTATGGTCCCAAAGGGCCAGTCCCTAAATAACAGTTAGTCTTGCAGATCACAGAATGGTTTGGGTTGGAAGGGACCTTAAAGATCATCTAGTTTCAACCTCCCTGCTAGGGACAGGGACTCATTTCACCAGGTTGCTCAGGTCTCCATCCAGCCTGGTCTTGAACACCTCCATGGACGGTGCATCCACAATTTCTCTGTGCAACCTGTGTCAGTGTCTCACCACCCTCACAGGGAAGAATTTTTTCCTAATATCTAATCTAAACCTACTCTCTCTTATCAGACAAAGAGGCTGTCAAAGGCTTTACAAAAGTCCAGAAAAATGACATCTGTAAGCCTTGTCCACTGATGTAGTCACCCCATCATAGAAGGCCACTAGGTTGGTTAGGCAGGACTTGCCCTTGGTGAAGCTGTGCTGGCTGTCCTGAATCACCTTTCTATCACCTCCTATAAATCTTACAACATTCTGCTTAGTTCTTTCCCTTTCTCAGTGAGTAACCCTGTCTGTTTATAGACAGCAACCAATCCATCCTCCTTGCTATGTTAAAGGTTCACCATAATTTACAGTAGTGGTATTAAGTGTTTCTGTAATATTGCTTGTCTGATAGAGTATCTGTCAAAGTCTATGAGTGCTGTCAGACTGTCTAAGTCTAGACTGCCAAACAGTTGGAATGCTCTACTTGTGCAGCATTGCATGATTCTGTGAGTATACTTGAGTAACTTGTGAAAACAAAACACTTAGACATTGTATATATTGTAAATATAGTTCATGTTATATGGGAATACTTTGGAAAGATATAATTGTAAATAGGAACTTAATGGCACAAGAATCTGAAAAAATCAATTATTTCCTAAACTCAGGGCAAAGCCGTGTCCATGATTTAATCTTCATATTTCTATTAACAATGTGTAGGTGTAGCTTGTACTGAACTGTTTCAGGTCAGCCTTAGCTTAAGGCTGCATTTGCTTGTATAAAAACTACATATAATTCTTCATTTTCTGCTTTCAGTTAAAGATCATCTAATAAGATCCTGTTTGTATGTGAAGGCAAGTAATTGTAACAGACATCTAACTGTTTTGTAGAGTTTGATGCGTTGTACAGACTTGGCATCCCTGATCCAACAGCCTACATTAAGAAAAGATACAAGTCCACACAGCTCTTGTTTCTGAGAGCAGCTTGTGTTGGTCAAGCAATGGTGGATCAAGTTGAAGCCTCTGTGGAGGAAGCCATCAGCTCTGGAACCTGGATAGATGTAGCAGTAAGCAATCCTTTCAGTTCTTCTTGTTGGATGGATTTCTTTTGTTGTATTTTTGTGATAAATGATACCTTACTGAAACTGCACATATGTCTAATGAAATTCCATGTTGTCAGTTTAAGTAAAATAACAAGTAAAGTGACATTATTTGCCTTTAAGTTGATCCCAACAAAAACAGGGGAATGACATCCTGGTATTCAGTTAATAGATAGGTAAGACTAACTGTCGTTTCAAAATAAGTTCTAAAGTATTTTGCTACAAAGCAATGTATTTTGTTGGGGTTCTTTTTTTGGAAAAAAAGGTTTATACTTGAACAGTGGATGAGAAGCTTCCCATGCGCTGCAGTGTGAGCTCAGCCCAGAAAGCCAATGGAATCCTGGGCTGCATCCACAGGAGTGTGAGCAACAGGTCAAAGGAGGTGATTCTTCCCCTCTACTCTGCTCTAGTGAGACCCACCTGGAATACTGCACACAGTTCTGGTGTCCTCAACATAAGGAGGACATGGAACTGTTGGAGCAAGTCCAGAGGAGGCCACAAAGTTGCTCAGAGCACTGGAGCATCTCCCTGTGAGCACAGGCTGAGGGAGTTGGGGCTGTTCAGTCTGGAGAAGGTTTTGTGGAGATCTTAGAGCAAGTTTTCAATCTCTGAACGGCCCTACAAGGAGCTGGAGAGAGACTCTGTGTTAGGAACTGCAGTGACAGGACACAGGGTACTGGGTTCAAATTGGAGGAAGGGAAGTTTAGGTTAGCTATTAGGAAAAAGTTTTTCCCCTGTGAGGGTGGTGAGACACTGTCCCAGGTTGCCCAGGGAGGCTGTGGCTGCCCCAACCCTGGCAGTGTTCACAGCCAGGATGGATGAGCCTTGAGCAGCCTGCTCTGGTGGGAGGTGTCCCTGCCCAGGGCAGGGGTTGGCACTACATGATCTGTTAGGTCCATTCCAACCTTAAATTCTATATTTTCTCAGTCTGTCAATCAAGTTTGTCCAGATGTCTCTGTAGAGTTTTCCTACCCTCAGGCAGATCCACACTCCCACTCAACTTGGCCTTAGGGCTCTACCTTGCGGCTTTTAAGGCCTGCTCTTGTTTTGTGTTGCTCTGTATCTGTTGAGCTTCAATTTGAAAAAGTTGCTTGTGCTTGCCCAGAGGTAACACATATCACTCTGAATTCAAACACTGCACTGCACTAGCTACTGAGAAAATTAACTCCTTCCTGGCTAAAACCAGGACATTGAGCAATGTTGATTTGGGATGTAGGAATATCTAAGGTAGTGTTTACTCTGAAATTACTACTTTAATTTAAAAAGTGCAGTGTATTCTAAGTAGTTAACAGATGTCTAATGTTGTGTCTCTGGATTCTGTTTATCCACCTACAGGGTTGTTTTATCTAAATTATTTTGATTTTCTTTATCCTAGACTCTTCTGCCCAGCTCATTGTCAGGAGAAGATGCTGGGATTTTGCTTCAGCAAGTGATGAGATCTTTAAACAAAAACTCTTCAGGTTTAGTCTTCAATGACACCATTGCAGTCAGTGAGAAGTTCCTAAGCAGCTGTGCTGACCTCTTTTCTGATATTATGCACCAGAAGGCTGAAAAGGTACAGGTTTTTTATTGGTCATGAGTGTTGGAGTGTAGCTTATGTGACTTTCTATTTTCTTTACATCTCATCTGAAATACAGCTTGAGAAGTGGAAAAAAATGAACAGGTTTGTATATGCAATGGGTGTAATTGAATGTATATTCAGGTGCACTCAGGGAGCACAGTTACACTAACAGTGTGATCAGATACTGAACTTTGAAGAGAACAGTAAGTGTCTCTTCATGTCAGCTTGGAAGATCTGGTGTTTGATTAGTGTACTTGAAAATGGCCAAATGGATTATGTTTCTTTATGTATGTTTTGTGTATCTATTTGCTATTAAGTGCATGTTCTGCATCTTAGGAAATGAAAAACAACCCTGTTAATTTAATCACTGAAGAAGATTTGAAACAGGCTTCTGGGTTGGAGAATTCATACGCTAATAAAAAAGACAAAAAGGATGAAAGAAGAAAGAAAGCAACAGGTAAAACATCAATATTTAGCTTAACCAAAAAAACCCAAAAAAGCTTGGTTTTTTCCCTTGGAAATACTCAAGCATAAAGTTAGTATATTTTGTAGTCCATTAAATGCCTCCACTTCATTTCTGAAGACATTTAAGAAATAATACAACCACTTACCATTATGCTGTGGGTGTAGATATATCTGACCTGTGCCTATGAGAACTAGTTCCAGATTTAGAAGAGCAGAGGAAGTACCCTAAAGGTCTCTTGAATTAGTCCAGCATGAGGCAGTTGGTTCTAGAAGGAAGGAATCTGGGGGTTTTTTTATTGTGTACAGTGTGGTCACTTAAGGCTGAGTAAAACCAGTCTTAGCTCAGGGACCTCTGTACCATTTTTTATTACGCAGTGTAGATACACTTTTACTCCCCACTTTTCAGGGATCCAGGAGAATTAAAATATTTATGAGTCTTGAGATGCTGATTCCAAAATAACTGTCTAAAATGAGAATTATTTTGTTGAGGTTTTTTGGGGGGAGAATATTTGACATCTTTCCTGAGAAAACCTGACCAGAGAATTTTCTGTTTGTACATGTAACAGTTATTTGGAGATTAACACAGTTTACTTCGAGGTATATTCTGGATTAAATTAATCCCAGTGTTTACTCCATTTATGTGGTGCTGTTTGGAATAGATTTTAACCTAAGGAAGAATAAAAATGTTTTGAGTTTAACCCTGTGAAATCTTTCTGATGTTTCAAACATTATTCAGTCTGAAAAGTGTATTTTCCATCTCAAAAACTTTGTGTGGCTCTTGCATTGCTACAACACAGCTGAGCAATCTCTGTTGAACTCACATGCAGAGAGTTGTGTGCTACTGAAAGTGAGGGAATTAGAGCACTGATGCATCCAGTTTAATTAAATCTGCAAAAGAAAACATGAAATTCTACTCCTAAAATGGCCATGAGTAGGCCTGAGTTGACATGGAAACTAAACTTATTCTTGCCACAGAGAGATAGCAGATTTTTCTAGGCCATAGCTGAGGCAGAGAAGCTTGAACTTTAATTAACTGTCATAATGGAATTACTTCAGTTTCCAGCCCTCTGAGAAGTTAGACTACTGAGCATGCACTACATGCCTAGACAAATTTATATCCACAGGTAACATACACTGCACCATCAGCAAGCACTACCCTGAAGTGTTTTTTTTATGGACTCTTATGTGTATTACCTAAAAAAATATCAAATCAACAGTTTATGTAATGTAATGACTGTTCTGCAGTCACACCTCAAATAAGCTTGTGAAAAGCACCAACTCTTTCTGTTTGTTTGTTTGATTGGTTTGGAAAGGTCACAAATTCAGGTCTCACGAGTGCACTATCCACTGCTAGCTGCAAATGAACTAGTTTGCTGTTCCTGCAGAGTAATGCTTAAAAATCCATGTATAGTATGGAGCAGATGCAGTTAGCTTTGTGAGTAGTAGCATCTTTGTGTTTCCTTCTCTTAAATAATAGTACTCTTACATAATGGAGTCACTTGAAATCTTGGACCTTATATTGAAGTGGAAAAAAGAACTACTTTCTCAAGGCATAGTGCATTGTATAGAACCGACTACTCTGGAGTTTAAATTTCTTTCCAGCAAAAAAATAACAACCTGCGAAAAAGGGAACAAACTGCACAGCTTACCTTGTGGAGAGGAACTGAACAGCAAATTGAGGTCTGTCTGCAGTTGATTACATTGATTACAGGACCTATGAGCAAAGTAATTTGTTAGGTTTGTCAGAACTGGAACATCTTGTTGCTTTGTAGTCATCTAGGAAAAGTCGAAGAAGGTGCGAGTGCTCTGGTTAATTGAATGTGTGTTTCCAAGAACATGTGCTTCCAGGAATATTTTGGATAGATGCTTATCACATAGGATTCTTTCTCTGAAAATTCACAATTACAGTATCTGGAATGTTTTTTAGGAGCTCAGTTATTCAGCATCACAGAATCAGAATAATCAGAGTTAGAAGGGACCTGTGAGAATCGTCTAGTCCAACTCCTGGCCCTGCACAGGACATCCCTGACAATCACACCATGGGCCTGAGAGTGTTGTCCAAACACCTCTTGAGCTCTGTCAGGTTTGAGGCTGTGACAGCTTCTCTGAGGAGCTGTTCCAGTGCCCAGACACCCTCTGAGGAAAGAACCATTTGCTGATCTCCAGCCAAAACCATACCTGACACAACTTCAGACCATTCTCTCACGTCCTGTCCCTGGTTGCCAGAGAGAAGAGGTCAGTGCTGCCCCTGCACTTCCTTCTGTGAGGAAGTTGTATCCAGCAATTTGGTCTCCCCTCAGTCTCCTCCTCTCCAGGCTGAACAGACAAGTGACCTCAGCCACTCCTCATGTGGCTTCCCCTCAAGGCCCTTCACCATCTTTGTTGCCTCCTTTGGGTGCTCTCCAGTAATTCAATATCTTGCTTACATTGTGGTGCCCAAAGCTGCACACAATATTCAAGGTGAGGCTGCACCAGCAGAGCAGAGCAGGACAAACATCTCCCTCAGCCAGCTGGCAGTGCCTTCTGGATGCACCCCAGGTCATGGTAATGCCAGGGCACACTCTCGGCTCATATTCAACTTGCCATTGACCAGGGCCCCCCAGGTCCCTCTCCATGGCACTACTTTGCAGCATCTCATTCCCCAGTCTGTATGTAGAGCCAGGGTTGCCCTGTCCCAGGTGTATCAATGGCTAAAAATGCTAAGTGCTTACTAAGATGCTATTTTCAGCCAACAGAAAATCTCCCATTGCACTCTGGACACTGGTATAGTCATGTGGTTTAATCAGATGTATATTTGATAGGATTAGTATCTGCATTTATTAATGACATTAGCTTCAACAAAGCTTTGACACAGTTGCTCTTTTATTTTCTTGAGAATGAAACTTATGGCCCTAAGATTCTGGAATATGTACTCTAGTTTGCATTTAGGATCAAGTTGTGGTGTTTAATTCAGCATTTACAAATAACACACAGATGAATTACCATAATACTGTAAACTTTTTAAGTGTTACAATACTAAGCAAGTAATTCCCCACCAGAGGGCAGTGGAAGCGTGAGAGCAGGAGGTGGTGGCAATGCCAGAGAGATCAAGAGTAAGAAAACCAAGAAGAAAGGAAGAAGGGATGCTGACAGTGATGAAGAGTCACAAGGGACTGCCACAGGTTTGTTGTTTTATTTAGCTACTATCTATTCATATCTATTCAACATGTTTTTATCACTTGCTTTTCCACATGTCTGTTCTTCCCCTCCTGTGTAGGTAAGGCTAGGTGAAATGTCAAGGAAAATGAGAATACTGTTTAGTTAGAATCGTGTCAGTGGATGTGATGTTGCTGCCTAAACAAACTGAACAGCACAGCTTAGTCTTTGAAAAAGAAATGTAAGTAAGGGAAATGAAAGCATTTTTATTTATTTCTTTTTACTGTAGGTAGAAAATGTCTTAGATTTTGGGGTGAGTGTTATACTTCATAGCACCTGCTGAATAGTGTGTGATAAATGGCTTCAATTTTCAAAGCATAACAAACAGTTTTTCCTCATAGGGATAAAATACACAGTTGAAATTAAGTCCTAATATTTTTTAGAAGTTTCATGTTGTTTAACTGAGACTTTATATCTGAGCTAGCTACCTTGGTAACTGCTGACTTTGTGCTGGAGGGAAGTAGGTGCTTTGAAGGTCTTGTCTGTCTCTCTTGTTACAGGGTGAGTTTGAATCACTCCCTACTGTTGCCCATTTCTCTACCTTCACAGTTAGAAGAAGGAGCAGGGGTGGCTCCCTGAGAAGTAAACACCAATGTTCTTAGACTTAGAGCTTGCAAATGAAACAAACATCTTATTTCTTCTGTTTGATGGAGCACCAGAAATGTGTGCTTCCATTTTATATAGAGCATCTAGACTTCCAATGCTGATGGAAACATACTTCTAAACATGATATTTCAAGCTGTGAAGTAACACCGTATTAATTTTGTATGATGTTGCTCTCACAGGTGACAGAAATTCACATGTAAACGAAGTTATTTTTCAGGACAGCTCAGTCACTGAGTAAAACAGTGTTAAATCATGGTGGTTTTTTGCTATAGCCTTTCATGTTTTACCACTGTTGCTGCTTGTATTGCTGTATTGGAATGAATAGATTGAACCTCAGTCCCAACATAAATTCAGGTGAAACCATTCAGATGTAAATAAGACCCTGTCAAAACCAGATTTAAGTTCCCTTTCCACTTGTTTATATAACCTTATACCTTCATTGCTACTGTGGCACCACTAGGAAGGTCATTAATCTCCATTGATTCAGCTACTTTATCTGCAGAATAAACCTGTTTCAAGCTGCATCTGGAACATAGTTCTGTTCTCTGTCATCATCCTGATCTCATTCTTGAATGTAAAACCCAAATTCTACAACATGCAGGCAAACTGTGTTGCTTGACTGTGTACCTCACTAAATGGAGTTGAAAACCATAAAGGCAACAACCTTGTGAACTCCTTCAAACAGGAACACTATTCAGTGTTGGCATTTTAAAATCTATTTGGTGTTGATGATGTTATGGTTTCTAAACTAATGGATAGGCCAAGCAGGCTGAAATGTCTTACAAAAATTGCATGTCCTCCTACACTACTTAAATTGTCTATTCCAGAAATTCTAAGTGATCAAAAGAGAAATTTTGTCAGTTTTTCATATGTGTAAAATGTAACTATCATGTATAGTCATCCCTTTTTTTTTTTTACTTGTTGATACTGCATTTCTTCTGTGGATGTTGGGGCTTTGAGGCTTTTCTCCTGCCACAGAGGAACTGCAGCAATACTAAATGGAATTGTCCCTCAGTGAATGTTCTTCATGGCCACTCCAGGTAGGAATAAGCAGCTGGAGTTCCCTTTCATGTCAAAAGAGGAAATTGAGGATGTTTTAAGGACCCGCATGCAGGATTGCCCTGAAGAGCTTGTTACAGAGATTGCTGAACATCTGATAAGGTAATTTATATTTAGGTAATT